AAAAACTGTGTCTATCCAAAAGCTTGTGGACCTTCCTGCACACACTATGTGTTTCCTACCTGCCCAGTATTATAGCCATAATCTTTTGCAGAGGTTTGATTATCATCCATATGAGGGGAGCAGGCAGGGCCCTCAGGCGGGCAGAAGTGTGGAAGTAGTGTCCACATGGGGTCAGGACAGGACCGCAGGGAAGAGGAGCAGTGGCTTTGGGGTAAATCTGATAACTCGTTGTCCGTCCAGTCAAAGAAGCTCTCAAGCGTACAGATGTGCTTATGGTATTTCGCCAACTGCTCTGAGGGTAAACAGCTCGTCTGCATACCCGGAGGTTCCCGATAAGATGCGACGAAAGCAAACTGAAGTGACTGCTCCTGAAAAGACTTCCGCAAAGTAGAGCCATGTTTTAATTTAATTTAATTTTTTTTAATGCTACAATTTTTTTTTTAAATTTATACGAGGACTGACCAAAAACAGTCAACGCAACGCGGTAATCTCTTCCTAAAGGTCAAAATAAATCCGGTAGTGACACCTGGGGAGCTGCTCTCAGCTGTCAATGTCATCGCTAGAAGTGAACGCTACGTACACGTAAACTTGGTTATGGGAGGGGGGGGGAAGCCGCGGAACTCTGAAATGCCTTCATCAGTCCAAAAGTTGGTTTTTAACACCATTACACGCTGAGCTGAAACACATTAATGCCCGGTGAGCCGAAAGGACGCGATTTAAAATTACAAACTAGCGTTAATTGTAGTTTCTGGAACGCGCGCTCCTCCCAAATGATTCCACCTAGAAACAGCCCCGTTACGAACGTTCCGCACACACAGCTCAAAGTTATATTATAAACGAGCTAAACGTTATAAGCGTATTATAGAGCTGGAAGTTAACTGAATATATATACATGTTAAGTGTGTGTCTTTTTTAAAAAAAAAAAAAAAATCATACCCAGGCTACTGCTTTTAATCCACCATAGTTTGGAGGCAAATATTCTACTTTGTACTCAAGCAAATTTATTTTTACGTTTTACTATTTAACTTTTTTTTGCAGTTAAAATAACACACATCAACTAATAAATTATCCTATTTTATTGTAGAGGTTCCCAAATCGTGTGCCAGATTAATGCCATAACTAACAATCCCAATAACTGTCAAACTTCAGACATGAACACAAGTGTGTGAAAACCGCTGATTATGTTAACCAGTTGTGTATATAAAGTATTTTTTAACATTAGCTCCGGCTTCAACATTAAAGTGAAATAAACCACTGATTGATCAATGATCAATGTTAGATTGTTTCATGGGATTACTTTGGCATCATGAGCACTTTCTCTTTTGGTATTTTCAGTTTATTTTGATCCTAATTTTAACATAAATGGGAACTGGAATGCAGGTTTTTCACTTAAGGGTATTTTTTCACTTTAGTGTAACTATCCATCCATTTTCTTCTGCTAATCCAACTTAGAGTCACAGGTGGGGGCTACATCCTATCCCAGCTGCCATAGCATGAGAGCCAGTGTACACCCTGGACAGTCCATCATACACATACAACTAGTTTAGAATCACCAGTTAACCTTGATAAATCAGAAAATCAGACATGCAGTAGTACGGATGTCTGATTTTCTGATTTATCAAGAGCCCCTTTGAATGTCTTGGCCACCACATGTTCTAAAATCATAGTACTGTCCCCTTGGACAGAAAACTTTAGTGAGGAGTAAATGACAAAACTTTAAACATAAATCATTAAAATATATATTCATGTGTTGCACTGAACACTCATAAAAAAGACCTGAAATATAAAAATAGATTTTTATTTTGATGCCAAAAAGAAACCTGTTAAACTGAGAAAAAATGTTCATGATAATTTCACTGGCAAAAACTCTCTCACACACACACCCAGTAATGAATGCCACAATGTATTCACAAAAGGTGTCATTCACTATTAAGT